CGTATTTTCTTATTTCGATAGGTTGAAAATTCGTTAAGTAATCACCGGCATAAACTCGGAAAATTGAAAAATTTTCATTGTGAGAAAAATGAGTTTGAAGTTTGCGGTAAACGAAAACTGCGATTTTTTTGATACTCATGGATATTTAAGTTTCCATTTTTTGCCTAATCAGCAATGCCTGCACCACAAAGGAGACCTTCCTCTTCAAATTGTGATTCGCAAGCAGCTCTCATTTTTTCACTAATCGATCTGCTCCGCGCGGCTCCGCCCCTCGAAGGACATTTGCAAAAGTAGCCCTAGCAGCTTAACCGTTTCGAATTTCGCTTATTAACAGTATATTCCTGAAACTACTTTCGATATGTAATAAAAAAAAAATCATTTGCAATATTTATAGTTAAGCAAAACTAAATTTATAAAACCAACTTAGGAGTTGGACTGATACTTTTGGTGAGAGATTATTTATGTAAAAAAAACAAATAATTAAATAATTACAGACAGGATATAAGTTACTCCTGTCTTTAAAATTACATTATTTTAGAATCTCTCCCTCAAAATAATTAACGTAATGATAGAACTGAATCTTGCCATTTTTGCAGATACAACCGTATCTGAGAATTTATAAAATTTAACTAAATTTTGCAATTTTTTTTTTTTCGTTAATACCTCGAGTGATTAATATTTTTTACTTCAAAGTCTGCTCCTAAAAAGTTTTGGATCTAAATCATTAGCGCCTCTAAGTGCTTTAATTGTTATTGTTTGATACATTTAGTTTCAACAATATTTGACTTTTTTAATTTAGTCTCCAAAGTGTATGAACAAAAAGAAATGTTTTGCTGCGATCATTGATTGACTTTTAGATGAGATAAACCTAGTGTTTTCAAAATCTCTAGATCTCTTGTGCATGAAATCACTACTGAAACACTTGGTTATCGTAAAATTGTGTGCGAGGTGGATACCAAAACTGCTCACAGATCAACACAAAGCCAACAAAATCACATCTTCAAGGGAATTTCTCAAGCGCTTCGAATTGGAAGGAGAACAATTCCTTGATGGTATTGTGACTGGCAACAAAACATAGGTGGCCCACTACACCTCTGACATGAAAAAATAATCAATGCAGTCGCGAGATCCGTCTACCATCAGCGAAAAAATTCAAAACCATTGTTTCAGCCTGAAAAATCATGCAAACTATGTTTTGGGAATCTCCTCATTGACTTTTTTTACCAGAGGGAAACAATTAATGCTGCACAATACTGTGAAACCCCGAAAACACTACAGAACAAAAGCGGAATGTTAAAGAAGGGAGTATGCCTGTTGCATGACAACGCACGTCTCCACACAGCTAACACCACAAAGCAACTCTTGGATTCAGATGGTTGGAACATCGTCAACCACCCCGCTCACAGTCCCTGATTTTCTTCATCTTTTCTCTTCTCTGAAGGTGTCGATGGATGAGAAAAGGTTGTCTACCGGCGATGGGTCCGAGAGGCGGCAGTAGATTTTTTTGATGAAGGTATCAGAAAGCTCATCCCTCGGCTCACAAAGTGTATTCAGGTTGAAAGCGACTATGTCGAACAATTGTATATGATGTACCTTCCTGAATATTTAATTTTTTCATAAATATACTGCCCTTTTGATTTTTAAAAAATTGGGTACTCATTACTTTATGGATATGCCTCGTATGTTAATTAACAATATTATTTTACTTGTAAAAATCGGTCACGTTTATTTGAACAGAAATTAAAACATCTCAGATCATTGCTTTTTCTCGAAAACAGTTTTGTAAATTGTAATAAAAGTATATTTTTGTTCATACAGGGTGATTCAGAATTTATCCAAAAAAATTTGGGAATAGATGCGGCATGAGAAATGGAGTCGATATAACTCGGAGTTCATGGATATCGTTTTAATTTATGGTGAAGCATTTGTGTTATGGTGAAGCAAGACAACATTTGTGTTAGTTCGTAGAAACTGAGTAAAACGGACCCAAATGTGTTTACATGTTGGTGGATAAAATTTTGAACAATTATTGTAACATCGGGTATGTCAAATGATTTTATTATTTAAAAACACAAATTAATTGTATTAATTAATAAAGGCAAAAGCAGTTTACATATTTCTTTCCTTGCGAAAGTTTTTGTCAGTTTTTATCACAACGCCATGTCGGTCGCATTATGCGAGGTAAGGTTTTATAGTGGACCAGTTTCCAGTGCCGTACAGTGTATTTTTAAATCATTTCCGAACTGCCCTTTTTGATTTTTTCTTTACAAAATTGTATTTGTAAGGGTTCCCTGTACATCCAGAACTTTTGGCTAATTTCTGAATCACCCTGTATAAATAATTTGTGTTATGAAACCTAAAATCTTAATGTCAAAAAAGTTGCTACAAAGAAATATACCCTAAGATACCGTGTACAACTAGGAAGAAAATTGATACTCTTCTAAACGAAACTAATAGTCAAATCAATAGGTAGAACACTTTACAAAAAGTACCACCTTCTGGAAACAAAAAAATATGGTGATATAGAAAAAAAAATTCTTAGTGTTTTTTTCTGTGGCGCATAAACGGCGAAGTTAACCTAAAAATTCATAAATGTCAAAAAAATTGTTTTTCGCCAATAAAAGAAAAACGAACTCCAGTTGAAAAAAGTTAAATCAGAAAGTTGTAGGTATTAAAAAAAAACTTATAGGTTCGTATTTTTAAATATATCGATTGCTACATTAGTTTTCGAGATACATATATCGAAAAAACCGTCAAAAATCGATTTTTTTTGTTTTTGCTGTATTTCTTGCAAATTAAGGTTTTGAAATCTGTTATTTGCTGTAAATGTATCCCTTGGCAAGCAAAAATAGTGCCTTTTTAAAATTAAATAATATTATTAAAAGTTTTTCGAGTTATATTGATTTTTCCAAAAAAATGGTCATCTCGAAAATTGACTCTTCTTGGTCGACGAATAGTCGTAGAGAAACGAATTAGGGCTCATTTTTTTCCTTAAGAGTTGTACTTTCATGGTAAGAAAGAGTGATAACGATTTTATTCATTTCAAGTGTCAAAAATGACTAAAGTAAAAAATTTTTGGTCCCGTTTTTCTTGAATATCTTTTTCCATTTTCATTTCTCGGTAATGTCTATTATATGAATCGAGTGCTGGCATTTTTACGCGATTTAAAAAAAAAAAGTTTGCCCTATGATCTTCTGGAGCCGAGATAATTTTTTTTTTTCAATTCCACAGGCCTGTATATAAGTGCTACATCGTCCATTCTTACAGATTGAAGTTACTGGGGTTCATTTTAGCCACTTCTGCATTCCTCAGTACACTGGTATGAGCAAATTTTTCATCAGTTTCCATCCCCACATAGTAACGTCATAGACCTTTCCTAACTATTTTTGTACTTACAAGTACACTCAAAAAGCATGTTGCTTGGCTGTTCCTTCAGTAGGAGGTAGATTCTCTAATTGAAACAAAGCTTTAGAAACCGATCTTTTAAAATATTCATATCTAAGCATGCCCTCTTTTTTATTACAATGAACCACAGTATTTTTTTATTGAAAATATGTCTTCAACTTCAGTCTCTGTAAGAATGGATGCTGTAGACTAAAATAGCGGCCTGTGAAATTTTTTGAAAAATAAATTATCTCGGCTCCAGAAGGACATAGAGCAAGATTTTTTTTTTATTTGCGTAAAAATGCCAGCAATCAATTCCTTTAATAGAGATTATAGAGAAATGAAAATCGAAAAAGATATTCAAGAAACACGCGACCTAAAAATTTTTCCTTTTTTCAGTCATGTTCGGACACTTGAATAAAATCGCTCTCATTCTTTTTTACCATGAAAGTACAATTCTTAAGGAAAAAAAATGACTCCTGATTCGTTTCTCTATGATTATTTGTCGAGCAAGAAGAGCCGATTTTCGAGATGATCTTTTTTTCGAAAAATCAATATAACTCGAAAAACTTTTAATATTTTTTAATTTTAAAAAAGGCATTTTTTTTTCCTTGCTGAGGGCTACATTTACAGCAAATAACAAGTTTCAAAATCTTGATTTGCAAGAGATATAGCAAAAACAAAGTCATTTTTTCACGGTTTTATCGATATATCTCTAAAAGTAATCGAGCAATCGATATATTTAAAAATACGAATCAATACCTACAACTTTCTCATTTAACTTTATTCAATTGGAGTTCAAGTTTTTTTTTATTAGCCTAAAACCGTTTTTCTGACTTTTATGATTTTTTAGGTTAACTTCGCCGTTTATGCGCCACAGGAAAAAAACACTAAAGCCTGTATCAGACAAGGCAATTTAGTTGCAGCGACAAAATTGCGGGGATTTTGTTGCGATGATAAAATTGCATGTTTATTATCACACAATGGGACAAAATTGCTGCAATTTGTTTAGTTTCCAGTAGAGTTACCAACTATGCATTGTTTAACATGTAAAATTTCTTGTATGTATCTTGTAAACAATTATTTTTTATTCAAGCAAAACATTGCAATGGATGAAAATTTAAAAGTAAATTGCTGTATAGCTTTAATAGTGGCTTCAACGGTGTTACTAACAACAACCATGATCAACAGCCAACAACAGCTAGGTTGGCAATAAACAAATCTTCATAAAAGTAACTAGAATCCCTGCAATTTTGTTGCACGGAATAGAGCATGATCTAATTCATGCAATTCAGTTGCCGGGACAGAATTGCATGGTCTGATAAGAAAAATTTCATGGATTCTATCGCGGCAACCAAATCCCTGCAACAAAATTGCATTGTCTGATACAGGCTTAAGAATTTTTTTCCTATATCACCATATTTTATGTTTCCAGGTGGTATTTTTTTGTAAATTTAACATTAGGCCCGTGACAGATTGACTGGACTATAATGTGATAAACCTTTTTGAATCATAATTTCAGGCAAATCAATTATTTGTTACATTTCACATGTATTGAAAATTAAAATTTTAATTATACTGAGAAAAAATCATACTGTATAGATCATTTCCATATCAAAAATTATTCGGTACAGTCATCTAATAGTTTTGGCATTTATAGTTTATTTCTATTTTCCAAAATTTTCAAGTGTTTATTCTTTAGCACAAAATGAAAGAACAAAATAATAAACTATGGTGTGATATAAAAGTTGCCATAAATCTAATTTATTTCAGTTTATTTTTTAAGTTGCACCTGATTACAAAATACGTTGCCTGCTCTAAAATCAGCTCAATGGCAATTATATACATATAAAACAAAAAATGTTGTTCTTTTCTAAAATTTCTCGAACCTATGAAAATGTTTACGACCATGGATGCATTGTATATATTTTAATGACTAATAAATATATTTAATATTATCACAGATAAATATCATTAACATTTTGGGAAACCAAATATACACTAAAAGATATAACTCCTATCTAGTATTTTTTTTTAATAAGAATTTCAAACCAAACCGGATCCACTACGAACAAAATAAATATGAAATACAATTTCCTTAACTCATAAAAAATATGTACGAATCCTTCACCTCTTTTCAGTTAACAAAGGCTTGAATTTAAAATTGGGGCCATAACCCTAAAATATTATTCTGCATTTTGTTTTTGCTGCTTAAGTAATTCGTCAATTTGACTTTTGTACATGTCCTTCACATCCGTCAAATCTAATTTTAATTCCTCATTTTCTTCCACCTTCTCTCCATAAAGCTGACATAAAGTTTCATATTGTTGTTGAAGCTCATTAAACTGTGTTTGTAAAATATCATAATCACTTGATTTACTTTCAAGATCTTCTACTCTTGTTAATAGTGACGATATTTCAGAATTTAACAACGATCGTTCCTGCTCCCTTCTATTCAATTCCCACTGTAGTTGTTGCACCTCACCTTCTCGTTGCTTAAGATTGGTTTGAAGCATCTGCATTTCATACATATTCGTATACCTAGGGACTTGTCCTAAATCAAATGGTTCGTCCTACAATATTATAAGTAAATAATAAATTCAAGTAGTGGTATTTAAAATGAAAACCTGTGACCAAAAGGAACTTCCCATCGATTCGGAATTTGATATTTTCCCTAAGCTTAAGGTTGGTGAATTACTGTTCGATCTCGCAGCTGTCAGATCTACATTAGAGTTGTGTCCTTCACTTTTTTCTTGGTTCTAAATCAACAAACAACATAAACTAACTTTCAACATTTCTGGTACAAGATTTTCTGATTTATTGGTGATTATTGCATTAAGTAAAAAAACAAATGAAGTTTAAATATTTTTTTTCTAAATAGACCCCAAAAAGGTGCATAAATAAAAACTATAACTTTTAAAATTTCAAATTCTAAGCCTGCTACAATTTTTTAAGGGCACATTTTTGAAAATGTAAATATATTAGCTTTTTTCCTACATTTATTAGAGTAATGTGACTCTACACCTTTTAGAATAACCTACCGAGATTTTTTTTACTTATCCATTATCCGTAAGAAATCATTTTCAAGAAAGTGCAAATCCTTTTTCTTACATTAATTTTGAAAAAAATAAAACAAAAAATGACATTATTGAAAACTATTAAAAACGTTAATGGACTTTCACAAAAATTGGAATGGGATCATTTTGAGAAATGTAGAATAATAAATTGGAATTTTGGATTAAAAAATTTGTTAATTTCAAAAACTGATCTCTAAAAAAATTTTAGCAGGCTTAGCATTTTGTAGTTTTGAAAATGTTATACTTTCCAAAAAGGACTTTTTAGGGCCTATTTATTGAAAAATATTTGATTGTCATTTGTGTTTTACTTACGGAGTTAATTGTACATCTATAAAAAGGAACACCTTGTTCATAAAGGATGTTTCATTTAAAATTCTGCAAGCCAATATATCGGAAATCAGGAGATATATAAGTTCTGTAAAATATGTTGTGCAATGCACACAAATTACTTCAATTGTGATCACATTTGATATATTCCAACAAACAAAAGTTGTTGTTCATCAACTTCAAAAAATAAGTTTTATTAAAGGTAGAATTTTACTCTGAGAAGAACATTTACTATTTCTATATTTATTAAAGTTTAATTTTGAATAAATACAGTGATTCAGTCATAATGACATTAATTTTAACAACATATTCGGAAGGCCTAAGACAGAAAATCGAAAAAAAAATGTACTTGACCTTTTAAGGTTTATCGAGTACGGAGGTACGTCTAAAGTCTAACGAGAGTTTCTGTAGTGACTAAAGTAATAAGCCTTTAGATTTGGCAACGTTGCACTTGGCTGGCTTTGTTTGGATGCCTAAGCTTGAAATATACATCATATGTCATACCAGCGAATTTCAAATAATATGCTACTTCCAGAACCGCGGCGTTGCCGCTATCACGCATATGGAGGTTAAGTTAGTCAACAACAGCAGTTTGAAGGAGAATTATTATAAATTATGTATCTTACAAGTACCTAATCGATTTCTACGAACTGTCATACGGTTCCTTAGATATCGTTACCTATTTATACAAGTTGCTGTGGAAACTGTTTTTCAATTGTTGCACATTCTAAGTGGAAAGAACAAAAAAATCTGCATTCTCATAAAACTCTGTACTAAATTGTGAAAAATTATTTTATTAATATCTCGTCTCTTAGGTATCCAAACTAGTCATAATTTTTTTTTTTAGGATTTTCTTCATATTAATAAGCGTATATTAATTTTTTTATGAACATTTGTTCGTCAATTCCAAATCAGATATACCTCCTTAAAAGATAAGCAAATTACCCCTTAACTCCCGCTAATTCGGCGCCCTCATTTTTTCTGACTGGAAACGCGCCGGCCAACCACCGAGCGTCCAAACGTTGAAGCGAAACAGTTGTTTTCCCCAGTCTTGAAGTTTGCAATTGGTTTCAAATTCAATGTGCAGCGGATCCTTACTTTATTAGCCGTACTGGCATTTCAAATAGGTAGGTACCATACTACTCTTTGAAAAGTAATAAGTACTATGTATACATGCTACAAACTGAATAATTACTTGAACATAATCAGGGTTCGTAGTAGCCTGGAAAACCAGGAAAAGTCAGGGAATTCATTATTCTTCATAAGAAACAGGGAGTAGTCAGGGAATTTAAAAAGTATTCATGAAAGTCAGGGAATTTGATGTTTGCAACTGGAAATTTCGTGAAAGCCAGCACTGGGTTCTTGAAAAAGAAAACTATATGTGGTTTCGAAACCTTTATAAGAGGTTCTTTGGGTATAAAGTAGATTATGGAGTCCAATTCAGAAAAAGTTTAATGCATAAACACCAAATTAGTATGTAAAAATTAACTACAAGTGGAAAGCCTGAAGAAGTGAGGGAATTTTATATTATTTTTGAACTATGAACCCTGATAATACTAAAAGTTCATATGTAATTATAGAACAGTGAAAATGTTAACAATTTTAAAAATACTAAATTGTAATAATCTAATATTCAAAAATAATTATTATCCTTCTACATTTGTTTGTAACAAATAATACTTAATATTGTACTTAAAATGTAAAAAACTGTCTTATTTATTCATGTGTCTAGGTAAAAGATCTGGTCATTCCTTGTCGTTGACTACGCATTAAAAACATAGTAAAAACTAGGTTAGTGACCGAATAATACAGTAGGTTACTCTCGATAGAGCTTTGTGGGTCAGCGGTCAGAAGTGGTCCGAAAAGGAGTTTAAATATGCATTTTAAGATTTTTTTAATTGCACATTCCTATTCTACTCATTTTTCCCTATCATTCGTTAAAATTAATGACATTATGACATAAAAACTGTATTATTATACTTAAGACTACATCATTTGAAACAACCTTTTTACGACTTAGAAAAATGAAAATGCAGAAAACTAAAGCAGTTCCAAGACACCTGTGACCAAAAATTAATTATCAATTTTTGTCCTTTAAATAATATTATTAGATTCAAATTTATTTAAATAAAACAAAAGAATTTGATGGTTACTCGTATAGACCATTTTCCAAAGTTCATATTAAAGATTTTTATTTTATTGGAATCAAAATAGAATATTCTTTGTGTATGTTATATAGTTATTTCTGTTTAGTGATGGTATGGCTTGTTTATGTCTTCATATTCATTGTAAAGATTCTGTGTGATATGGGAAAATACTTATATTAAGGAAGAAATAATTCATCTGATTACTTTTTGTCAAAAAATAGTGCGGTTGCAAGAAGACGATATCAGATGGACTAACCCAACCGAAAAGAAAATATGGATCTTAATAAAATAACACACAATGATGTGACATACTGAGGCAAGTTTGGACAGTAATGAAGGAAATGTTGAGCATATATTGTAAAAAATTAGGGGAATAAACAGATTATTAACTTATTTTCATTTATTATATGTATTTTATTTATTATAGTTTGAATTTTCTGTCAGATGAGTTGTTACTGTTTTATAGTTTATTTTATTTTTGTTTGTGTGATAACAACTTGCTTCTAAAATGTTCAGTTTTTATGAGATCTGATAACAATCTTAGCTTTTAAGTTTTCTTCGAGGTCACAAAAAAAAAGGTTAAAATATCAGCTTTCATAAAGGAATTTGAGAAAATAGATTTCTATCACGCGCGCTCGCTATGGGACCTATAGTGTAGGGGGTTAGGTGCACGGAAAGTGGTAGATAGTACAACAGCGTGATGTTATTTTCATATAGCGCTATGAAAATAACATCACGCTGTTGTACTATCTAGCACTTCCCGTGCACCTAACCCCCTATGCTATAGGTCCCATAACGACTCGCACTTGTGATAGAAAATAGTATGTGCAACTCGTTCGGAAAAGTTGCCATAGCGCCACTCGGGCGCTTTCCGCACTCGCTTCGCTCGTGCGTGAACTGCGTCCGCGTGGCGCTATTGGCAACTTTTCCCCACTCGTTACACAATGTACTATTATGATATGTTTCCAAATGTCAAAGGTAACCTCCTTATAAACATGACCCTTATCCAAAGTTACACCCTGTATTTTTTTGGAAGTATTATTTTCCCATAATTTTTTTTGTGTAAAACGATCATTTCTTATATTTGATACAATTATTATAGCTAACAAAGTGCACTCATCAACTCTGAAGCCCTAAAGAGTAAATAAATATCATTTAGGGATTTTAATTTATAAATGTATAACACATAACGTTTTGTTCAAATCCTGCTTCATTTATACTGCAAAATAGTTAATAGTCCATTGAAAAGTTACATTTGGGGTTGCAAAAGTCAGAGCATGCAATTTTATTTTTTGGATATCAAGAAGGAGTTAATGTAAAGTTAAATCCATGTTTGTGGGGTTGCAACCCTTGTGTATCGGTCGCCATCTTGTAAAAAGGGTTGTGAATGGTTTTTATACTACTACTTATTATATTGGGCAAACTATTCATCGCACAGAAAATTTGTAAAGACATTTTTTGTTGCAAATTAAATTCTCTATAAATTTGGTGCCGCAACTTTTAGTCGTAGAACCAAAAATAACAAAGTTATTAACGAAAATAGATAAAAAATTGGGAACAAATTTTCTTTTGGTCGTTATAACTTTTTTTCTGGTCATTTTACAAAAAAATTACATCAGAGCATTTTGATAGAGGGGTTTTCAAGGAATAATTTCTATTACAAACTTTTTTCAAATTTTATTTATTTATTAGGGTTTTACAGCGATGCGAAACTTACACTATTCTCCAGTACTAGAACTATACATTAATATGAATGATTAGGCATAGGAGGTGTCCTTCAAAGTTTTCTTCCAGTTATGCTACCACGTGCGTGCGTGACGTATTTAATTGTGAAAAGTATTTTGAGTTTTGTGCACTATTTTGAATTTTGTGGACAAGAGGTGGGTTTCGGTGTCGACCTAGCAGAATCAGATGCAGATACCCTCATCGTTCGACTCAGTCACTATTGTCGCCGAAGATATCGACATTCTTGTCTTGCTCACGGCATTTGGAAGAAGACATTCAAATATATATTTTTTTAAACTATCGAAAGGACGTACAGCCGAACAATTATATTGTCCGTCAAGTTTTATGTACGGAGACGTCATTGTGGATAATCTGTTGTTTCTCCATGCCTTCTCAGGATGTGACACGACTTCAGCAGCTTACAACATCGGTAAAAATAAATTTCTCACAACCCTGGAGATACGTCCTGAGTTAGCTAGTGGAACAGCGTTATTCCTCAATGAGAGAGTCGTCCCTACTTTGCTCACTGCCGTTGGCGAACGTTTTTTTTAACTCTTTATATGGTGGCAATAAAGGTGATGATTCTCTTGACAGTCTTAGATATAAACGATTTGTCAAGTCAGTGACAAAAAATACATTTAATTTGTCTTCACTTCCTCCAACACAAGACACAGCCCGCTTGCACAGCCTCCGAGTCTATCACGTCCAGTCATGGCTCGGGAATTACAACGACCCTCAAGACTGGGTCTGGAAAAAGTATCGACAAATATTGATGCCTGTTCAAAGTTCAAAACCTCCAGCACCCCCTGAGCTTCTAAAGTTGATATTCTGCCGATGCAAAGGAAACTGTGGAGCATTGTGTGGATGTTGGAAGGCAGGCCTCAAATGTTCTGCAGTGTGCCTGAATTGTTCTTGGGAGACTTGCAGCAACATAATGGAGATATCAAAATTGATCGAGGAGAATGATTTTGAAGATGAACTGCCAGCAATGACGCCAATTCATTCTCCATCTTTTCTCAACAATTCAATATCGGAAGCTCAACCAGATCCTGAGTCGCAGCCTGGCCCATCAAAGAGACTGGGGACACAGTAGATTGGGAAATATATTTCGATATTTTTAATTACACTAATTATTATGTCAGCTAGAAAATGTCCGTGGATTCTGCCTACTAGGGATACGACGTAAAAAAAACGCGCCACCAGACTCTACCTCGTAGGGGGTGGGGAAAAGAGTCAATAACTAATTAACAACATTGCAATGTCAATCATTAAAATGTTTCTTATAAAAATAATGGAAAGATGAGAGAAAACTATGCCTAATCATTCATATTAATGCATACTTACTAGTACTGGAGAATAGTGTAAGTTTTGCATCGCTGTAAAACTCTAATAAATAAATAAAATTTGAAAAAGTTTGTAATAGAAATTATTCCTAGAAAACCCCTCTATCAAAATGCTCTGATGTAATTTTTTTGTAAAATTATCAGAAAAAAAGTTATAACGACCAAAAGAAAATGTGTTCCCAAATTTTTATCTATTTTCGTGAATAAATTTGTTATTTTTGGTTCTATGACTAAAAATTACGGAACCAAATTTGTAGAGAATTTAATTTGCAACAAAAAATTTTTTTACAAATTTTCTGTGCAACGAATAGTTTGCCCGATATAGTACCTAAGTAGTAGTATAAAAACCATTCGCAGCCATTTTTACAAGATGGCGGCCGACGCACAATGGTTGCGACCCCACAAACATGGATTTAACTTTACACTAACCCCCTCTTGACATCTAAAAAATAAAACTACGTGCTCTGACTTTTGCACGCTAAGCCCAAAAAAATGTAACATTTCAATGGACTATTATATTTTAACTGTATTGCTTCCAAAACATTAATGCGTTTGTTTTTCCGAAAATCGTTAATCTTGTTTGAGAAAGAGAGCCTTTTTGTAAGATTTTTTAAGCTGATCTGATTACTATTTTTTAAGTTTACCAAATTTGAAAAAGTAATTAGCAAAGTAATTATAAAAAATAACCTCAATTTAATTAAGAATTTTTTAAAAAGTGCCATAGGAACCTGTAACTTTTTTTGGATGCTTGAAACATCAACGTATGTCACCACTAGTAACCACTATTTTTAAGATAAGTAAATAAGTACTACACTCTTATATGGTACGATTTTTATGAAAATGAAAATTTCTGGAAGACTTACCTGTATTATCCCAATTTGAGGCTGATGTCTTGCTTCAATATTAGATGACTTCACTAATAATAATTCTTGTTGTAATGTAGTTATTTGTTCTTCTTGTTTGCTTATCAATTCTTTGTTTTGGTTATTAATCTCATTCAATTTATTGATTCTCCTAAAATTAAAATTACACTTTAAAAAGCATAAAAGAAATATCTTACTTTTATAAATATTTTTTCTACAGATGTCATTCAATAACGACTTTGCAATCCACACAATGCACGCCTAAAAGTGACAATTTTAAAAAATACATATAAATAATAAATTTTTGATCGCCGAGCATAGGCGATCAACATTGCATGGCTGATACGGTCAACTAAAAATCACTAAATCTTAGTGTCACCAATATTGATGATTCATTTACAATGAACAATGACAAACTGTTGCGTCTATGCTGGAGATATAGCGATCGTCGATTGAAAAATCTTATGAAAAATTACACAAATCACCAGCGGGTGATAAATTAAATTTAATAAGGAGTAGAAAAATTAGCTGTTATACTTACAAAATTATTAAAAAAAAAAGAAATAAATTTGTAGTTTAACCAAATTTGTACCTTATTGCTTCCAAAATTTACATAGTGCATCTCTAGGTGACTCAATTTGTATCTCGTCAGTTCTCTTTATACCGTGCTTTCACGGGAAAACACTACATAGGAGGTGAATCGGTCAAACTCGTGCGGCTTCAGCGGTGGGGATGTCGATCTCTGTGTGCGCGGCCGTGCGGCGCTGTGGCGTACGGAATCACATCTCATATCAAGTCAGGGTGCAGCACCCAGCGCTTCCCACCCTTCCAAACTTACAAATTCGAACGAAGCTAATTCCCTATGTAGCGTTGTACGGTGAAAGCACGGTATAAACAAAAATCTTATTTAAAAAAATATTTAATCAACAGACCCTGTTAATTCCCGTTCGCTTAGCTGCCTCTCAGTTTTTTGCTGCTCTAATTGCATTTGCAACAAATGAAATTTATGATTAGAACTACCCAGTTGAGCCTCAACTTCTGCCAATTGCGACTTCATAGTGGTGCATTCCTCTTTAGCCATTCTTTCGGCACTATTTGAGGTTTGAAGCTTCATGGTAAGTTCTCCTGAAATGCTACTATTAATTTAATTTATTAAAAATACACATTAATAATACTTGCTTATTTTCAAAGTGAGCTCTTCTTCCAATTTCTCAAAAGCAGCAATTTTCATACTGTGTGTGGCCTGTAGGGATTCAAGTTGTCTAATAAGTGGTTTACTCATTTCCAGAATAGACTGCGACAGCTCCTCATTTCTAGTTTCAATTTCTTCTAATCTCGTCAACAATTCATTATTTTCTTGACGCAGTTTCTGTTCTTTTTTTACATACTCTTCTGCTGATTGTTGCAACTTATACCTCAAATCTTCTAATTGATTACAAATCTAAAATGGAAATAAATTTTCGATAATATAAAAAAAATTGGGCATATAAAATGTAGCTTTATTAGATAGCCCTAAATCTGTTAAAACATTACCTCTTCATTTTGAGACTCTGTCATTCGCTTTTGATTTTCCAAGACTTCCAGCATTTGTTCCCTAGCTAATAACTCTGAACTTGTTTTGTTTTTATCTGTCAATTCTTTTTTTGCAGCATCTAGAGAATTTCTTGTAGTTTCATATTTTTGTGATAAATCATCTAGTTGACTCCTCAATGTTGCAACTTCGGTTTCTAGTTTTTTGTTTTTATTAGAAAGCTGATGGACAGCTTCAATTTGAGACCTTTCTACCTCATCTTTTGCAGCGAGAGACTTTTTTAAACGTTCTGATTCAGTTGAGAGTCCCTCAATGTTTTCTCTGAAAATTGAAATATTTGTACGTTTCAATAAAAAAAAACATCATTTGAATAGTGCATTATCTTACTGAGACATGCCTTTAGTGAATTCAAAAAAGCAATTTTAAAAAATAAAAAAGAAGGGACTAAAAGGATTGTAATTCTAAAAAAGTATCATTGTGTCGTATTGCGTCATTCTCAAAAAAAAAGTTGAATTAATTTAATTTACATAGATTATCTTATTAAATCCGTCAAATAAACAGGAATAACTAAAAAAAAACTTTTATTACCCTTATCTGAAAAGGAAACATTTACAAATCTGTTTATATTATTATTACTGTTTTTAAGAGAGAATCAATTGATTGTGTCAGCAATACTAAAATACACTGTATATATAAATTAAAAAATAATTTAAAAATATATTTCCTTTCAATAACTGTCAAGCAAGGTTTCAAACTAAACGAACTGTGCCATTATATAAAAGACAGTACATATACACCTACGCTTATATGTTTCTTACTCCAATTTACCATTATGTATTTAATTTTTTATAAATATTGTTTTGCAAAAAAACACATTTTTTTTTAATTTTTTGCTTATAAAACCTAAACTAACGAAGCAATCTGAATGATATAGGGTTGTAGTAAAACATGTTTTTTTACTCATTTTTTAAATAAAGCAGTAATTTTCATCAAAAACCAGTTGGAACTTATTCAACATTTCTATATTGTAAGAATGATTCATAAATATGACTTTTCACTTATACAGGGTGTCACCTAACGAATGTTATATAACTTCAAGAGTATAATCTAGAACCCAAATTGTGTTGATTTAACGAAACTTGCTTAAACGAAAAATGTCGCAAAAAAAGTTACAGGGTGTTAAAGTTTCTTTTTTATTTCTTGTTTTCTCATTAAGTCAGAACCTAGTTAACCGATTTCAGCAAAATTTGCTGTTTCTTAGTTTCTCTTCATAAAGTATGCAGCTATTATCGACCTATTAGGTTAAGTCATACAGGGCATTCATTTCATTACAACCCTTTGTGAATATTTTCACAAGTAACTATCAGAAATAGGTAGAGAATTTTATTCTACACAAAAAAGTATACCTATCAAAAGTTGAAATTATGAAGATATTATAGAATATATTTATTAACTTAACTTGACAGTGACTTACTGAAATTGTCATGTTGTTATAGATACTTAGTTATATCCAAAAAATTATGGGGTATGTGTTAATAAATATTTTCTGTAATATCTTCATAACTGAGCATAATTTTGACTTTCGTTGCATGTAAAAATTTAAGAGTATAAAAAAGTAGAAGAAATATTCACAAAGGGTTGTAGTAAAATGAACGCCCTGTATTATCTAATAGGAACATAATTACTGCATACTTCATGAAGAGAAACTGAGAAACTAAGCAACAGCAAATTTTGCCCAAATTGGTTAATTTGGTTTTGAGTTAAGGAGAAAACAAGAAATAAAAAAAGAAACTTTAACACCACGTAACATTTTTGTGACACTTTTCGTTTAAGCAAGTTTGGTTAAATGGACTTGGATTGGAAAATTAGAAATGGAAATGGATGGATTTGGGTCTAGATTATACCCTTGAAGTATGAAACATTGGTTAGGTGACACCCTGTAGATACAAAAACTTTAATTGCACTGTAATAATGAAGCATTTTTGACATATCAAATTGGCTAGATAGATTATTTTTCCTATCAAATTACAAGATGTCAAATGCAAAATAATAATTCTACTTACTTTAAATGCTTTATGGTATTCTCATTTTCCTTTTCTTTAGATCGTAACTTTTTAATTATATTAGAATGCTGTAATTGTTGTTTAGATAATTTTTCCCCTTCTTCTCTTAGTTCCTTAATTACTTCATCTTTTTCGAAAAGCAAAGTCTCTAGTTCCCCCTTACTCATTCTTGTAGCTGCTTCTTGTTTTGCTTGTTCCAACTGTTTTCTCAGCGAATCTTTTTCTCTAATAGCTTGCTGGAATTTTTTTTCCAAGGCCGATAATCTTTGAGTATACTCTTCTGTAACTTGAGATAAATCAGCTGATTCTAATTGTTTGGTAATTACAGAATTTAACTGAACTTTTAAATCATTATTTAATTCCTGAAGTTCTGCATTTCTTCTGTTTATGTCAATAAGTTTAGATTCCCTCGATTCCAAAATATCAGTCATTTCTGATATCCTTTTCAATAACCTATCTATTTCTGATGAATGTGAATCATCGCTAATACTGGAAGCTTCTGATAGTTCCCTGGTGTGACCCTTAGCTTTTTTCATTGTCATTTTGCAAAGTAATGTATCAATGGTTGATTCCTCTGATCTAGTTTTAATGCATGTTTGTTTAGCCGGACTTTGTCTACTTTGTGTACTACTTGAATCTCCATTTGGACTTGATATTATTTCTATATCAGATGACGTTGTGGTTTCTAATTCATCACCCGAAGTATGACCTGAAGTATAGTCAGAGCCAATCTTTACAAGGTCAGATCGACTTTCTGAACTAATAGGAGAATTTTCTCTTGGAGGCATATCTAACTGGGAGATTGATATACTTTCTATTATACCTACGCTACCAGATAAATCGACAGTGTTATAAGAATTTTCTAACTCCTCATTTTTTTCCGCCATTGCATCAGCTAGCATATTTTTTAAAAAAGCAGAATGGCTGCTGGTTTCGGTAGTAGTACTGGTATCGCTACTGCTTTCCATTATATTATCATTAGCGATAACTGTTTTATCTGATTGCGACCCTTCATCAGTAGACACATCTAACTGTGTTTCTGAACCAGAACTGACAATATTATCATCTTGTGGAATATCAATTATGTTTGTTTTTTGCAGAATATTTGTTATATCATCTTTATTACTATGAGGTTGGGTGTCAATTAATAGTTGGTTTACTTGTGCTAAAGGTAAATGCATATTGGTACGACTTGGTGCTCTGGTTATAGCATCCGGAAAACTGTAATTTTTTTCTGGACTTAATGTTAAATCTGCAGAGCCACCTTCAATCATTGTATCTGGTCTATTGAATGTATCTTTAAGCATTTTTTGGGGTTTTAAATGTAAGTTAAATGCAGAGTCTAATACTGTTGCAGATGTACTTTCAGATATCGAGGTATATGACATTGTGTCTTCCGCTATACTATTTTCATCTTGATCTTCAGGAATGACTTCAACACTTTCAGGTGAAATTTTCTCAATGGAACTGAAATATACCGATCAGGTAAATAAATTAGCAATGTTTATGTATTATACCTTGATTTGTTATCTGACCAAGGTGAATCGAGCGGAGAAACAAATTCATCAGTATGTTGGGACTGCCTCCTACTATTAGTACTATCAGTTCCAATAACTTCTACAGAACTTGGGCTTGCAATACTATCACCTAATATTTCTAGTGAATCCGAGGTTAGCTTCGTACCTATTAAAAATTGTTTAAAAAAAAAGTAGAGAAGCGTAGAAGTGGTACCATACACAAAATATATTTTTTTTATGCAACGTTTATGCAAGTTATCTGATTGATGTCAAACTAAACATCCAGGGGAAAAAATGCCCCGTTTGATGAGAGTAAAACTATATTTTTTTAAATCTTCATCTTTCTATTTATTTGAATAGAATTCGTTCTTACCCATTAAACTTCCAGGAATCTGGAAACAAAATAATTGCTGAAATGGGCTATATCCCTTGGATGTTAAATTTGACATCAATAAGATAAATCTATCTGATGTATGATCTTAACTAGTTTAGCTGATTAGATATCGTGGGTGTAATAATGGCAGATGGGGTCAGTAGTCCGCAGAATAGTTGTTTTTCACAACATTAAAAAATATATTTGTAAAAGTTGCAGCCATTTAAAAATAAAGCTTGTATGTATAATTCTCATTTCGAACAGGAAATTTTTGAATTATATAAGATGGAAAACATTATTTCAATATTTAACTGAAAATTTTGAATTGTAGAATAACTAAATGAGATTTTTCCAATTAGTACAGTAACTATGATGTTTCAACTTATACCTTCGAAATTCTGTCTGAATAAAAAAAAAATTTGGCAGCCGATATATATTTCATCAACGAATGAAATTATATGTGCATAATAGTAAAAATAAGTAGACACAGGTTTGTGGTCCTTATTTACCTAAAAATCAGTCAAGTTATTATGTATGCACCCTTCTAAAAATAAAAATTGAAAGTTACTAGATTTAAAAAAAAAAAATTAAGTTGTTGCTGAAAAATTTGCCAATTTATAAAACTAATATGTTTTGATATTCAATAAAGGGATTTATGGTTTACTATTTGTTCTTTTAGGACACAAAATCAAATACAGAATCCAGGTAAACATTACTTCTTAAATATCTATTTCATGGCCCATCTAATAAATTACTGTCCCGCCCAATAAAAAAAAAGGCAAGTTGAAATATGAATAATATACTAAAGAATTAGGATACTTGAATTTAATAACCCAATTGTACACTGGACCATCTAAAAAATTATGGCAGGTTTTACGGTCCATCTAATTTCATACATCTTGTTATGTGCCTATTAAAACAATTCTACAAAATGTATATGGGACGATCCATGTCAATCAGACCAGTGTCACGACCATAATTTGGGGTAACCAAAAAAATCGACCAGGCTCGTTTTAAAGTTTAGGGGGTCTACTTTCAAATGCTGACTACTCCTTTGTCTAACAAGGGTTACCATAAAATAAGGTCTGGTGAAATAAATTCCAAGTTAAACCTGAATTTGAAGAAAGAGATAACTATCACCAATGTGTTTCTAAGGTTTCTAATTGTCTGTCAATGGACCAGTGAATGTGTATGTTCATCAACTGCTAAATTAACTAAACAAACCTTTAAATTATTTAGTATGGAAAATATCTTATTATAAAATTTGTATGTGATACTTTCACCCAATATTTTTTTTTGCTCTATAGGTATTATCCATCTCATTGGTAATACTAATTTCGTTCAATATTTTCTTATAGTGTCTCAATTATTAGATGTGTCTTTGTTTACTTTATATTTCAGAGTCTGCCATAGGAGTAGATGGGGTTCAAATCAGGATTTCTTGCAGACCATAAAATTGTTCCTTTAAAAAAGAAACTTAGACAACAATGACAAATACATGTTTCATATAAAAAACCGTTTGTTTTGTACTTCTAATGTACAAGTTCAATTGTTCTTTTATATACAGGGTGGCCAAATGAAAACGAAACAGACATTTTCAGGAACTGCATCAAGATTGTAGAAAAACGCTCAGACCCGTCGATTTTAGATTAAAGGGGGGCATTCTTTGCTGGTATTTTTGACTTCGCCACTTTCACCCCCCAAGCAAGGGTAAGCAGTTCCTGAAAATGGCTCTGTTTCGTTTTCATTTGGCCACCCTGTATATATATCTATGATACCACATGCTTTTCTCAAACTTCATTTTTTTTAAAGGTCAAAAAATATGAAGTGGGTAGAATATTATGTGAATACTCCTGTACAGTATTTCTGCTACACACATAAGTAGAATATAGAAAATACAGGGTGTCCCTGGAAATGATGGACAACGCTTGGCCACAGGTTTCTTGGGTGCACAAAAGTGCACGCCTACTGAGATATAGCCTTCTAAATATAGAACAGATAATCTAATTTTTTTCAAATAATTTGAAAACTACTTTTTTTAGAGACTTCAAATTTGGTATACATATTTTTTTATATAAGGGCAACGTACATATAGAATTTGGTGAGAATACATATACAGGATGTTCTCTTTTTAGTGCTTGTGCGCCACTGGCTATCCCGTAACTTTTTTGTGTGTCCGCCAATGACGACAGAATTTATATTTTGAAAAATAAGCACTATTATAGAAGATTTTTTTGCTATTACAAAATTTTGATATCGTTTATGTAAATTTGCATTTTTTATACATTAAATAATATAAAATCAGTTTAAGAGCAGGATTACGAGAGCTAAAGTCATAACACTTCTTAGATGGCGATTGGATGCCCTTTTCCTAATTTCTTGCATAAATTTGAGAACTCAATTTTCAGACGAGAATCTACTCGTCGGTAACTCTCCATTGATAAAATGTAGCCATTCGCCAGTAGATGGTACTGATTAGCATACATTAAATAATGCAAACATGTCATTATAGATGTCCTCGTACACGGCATCGGCAATAAGAAGTTTAAAAAAACGCTATACAATTTGCACAAAAAACGGGAACAGTGTTTTTATGAAGTTTGGTTATTTCATTTTTATTTCATTTATGATATTGATGTGTCCTGCGTCGTTTGACATCATAAATATTATTCTAGTGTGTGAGTGTGTATTGTACTGATTACTTTTTTATTAATTAGTTATTATTATACAGGGTGGCCCAGATTTTAATAGACAAACTTCGGGAAAGTACTAAACAACAAAAATTAACATCACTTTGTTCTATGAACATAGGCGCAGAAAGCCACGGTTTATGAGATACAGGCCGTTGAAATGATAAAAAATAAAACAATTTTTTTAAATATCTAGAAAACCGCTTCATCAAATTTATCCAAATTTGGTACATATTTTTTTTTGAATATTTTTCCTAGTTCTGTATGCACACAGTCCAAATTCAAAAACCAGTGACGGAGAAACAATGATATCGTTTCCTTATTTAAAGTAAAACTTTTATGCCACTGAATTAATTGATAATATGAATACATTTTACAACGGTCTGAAACATTCCGGTTGAAAAAAACACACTTTTATTTTTGTCGAAAAGTGAATGATTTACGAGTTATGAAACATATTATGATGCGTTTTTTTTCAGATATTTAAAAAAATTATTTTATTTTTGTTAAATTCAACGCCCTATATCTCACAAACGGTAGCTTTCTGTGCCTATGTACATAGAGCAAAGTGATGTTAATTTTTGTTATTTAAAACTTTCCCGAAGTTTGTCTATTAAAATCTGGACCACCCTAATTTGTTTTATTTTTTCCGATTTCAACGTTTTGTTTACTTGAATAATATGTCTCATAACTTGTAAACCATTAATTTTTCGATAAAAATATGTTTCAGAATGTTTCAGACAATTATAAAATGTATTCATATCACCAATTAATTCAGTGGCGTAAAAGTTTTACTTTAAATAAGAAAACGACATCCTTGTTTTTCCGCCTCTGGTCTTTGAATTTGGACTATGTGCATACACAACTGGGGGAAATATTGGAAAAAAAATGTGTACCAAACTTGGATAAATTTGATAAAGTCGTTTTCCAGATATTTAAAAAAATTGTTTTATTTTTGATAATTTCAATGCCCTGTATCTAATAAACAGTGGCTTTCTGCGCCTATGTTCATAGAGCAAAGTGATGTTAATTTTTGTTGTTTAGTAGTTTCCCGGAGTTTGTCTATTAAAATCTGGACCACCCTATATATTAGTTATTATTATTATTAGTGACCTTTGTGTTGTGAACTATATTTACTGTGTTTATTATTTATTTGTAACTATTGTGTGTTTATTTCGCAATGCCGAAAAGCTTAGGGAAAACTAAAAAAAGGTCAAAACGTGCTAAATCACTTAAATTAAACTGGAAAGAAAGACACCAAAATCTGTAAGTAGTATTAAATAGTTTTAAATCGGTAAAAAGGCATAAATTTATTCTTTTTAGATATAGGATTTCTACGGAATTTAGAGATACAGAGAGATAATTCAGAGAATATCAGGTACAGTATTACATCAATAATGATTAATGAACAAATATGTTTTATTCGAGACTAGTATATACCTATATACTTAAGAATATAGGTAAAGTTTTGTGCGGTCGAGACTAGTTTTCTAGATTTTTTTTTTTTCAAAAATATAATCTGTACGTTTAGCTCAGGGATATGAGGAAAATGCCGTGACTGTTGAGTAGCCAAGGATCTGTAAAGTTTTTCAGGTGAGGTTTTTTAATAATTAACAATAAAAGGTCTAAAATACCTATAACAAAATACCTATATATATTTAAGTTTGGCTGACAACTGCGAAATTTCTTTAAAAAAAAAGGAGAAAGCTTTTTATTTTTTTACTATTTTTAAACAAATATATTGTTCTCAGTTAATTTCTTTTGGTATGTACTTTTACTTAAACATTGACCCACTGTGCATTCAGATAATATGAAATAGTGCATTCAGGTAATATGATATAACATTCGACCGTGTATACCCAATTTTTTATTTCTATCTATTTTTAATTGCAAACGATAGTTAGAGATGCCGACTATACTAATATCGATAGTCGGCATCTCTGTCTATTTATATTACACTCCGTGCAAAGATACAGGTGATGTTTACTGTTTAAGGTAGTTCTTTTGAATAAGATCTAGGCTTAAGACACGTACGCAAATGTTTAGTTCAATAGTTAAAGCAGTTCTGAATAACATATTTATATTTTAAATCGATTGACCATTTCGTTTTTTAGAAATTAATTTTCAATGTTTAAAGAATTAACACGTGAGAGATAGGGATTTGTTACATTTCTCATAAACCACTTTTACCTTTATGCACAAATTTTTGTATGCGTAGAATATATTTTTTTATTTTTTCGGTGCAAAAAAAAATATGATTTGTTAGTTTAGTATATATAAATTATCTTTAATTATTTTTTGTATTTATATTCAATGGAAATAATATAGTTTTGTCCAATAAAAAGATATATTTTGCAATTATAAAATATTTTTGCATTTACGTTTTATTTCTCTAAATTTTGTACATTTTTTCTGAAAAAAGATATGGTCACCGTTATGAACCTTCGTATAGACAAAAAATAATTGCATTATACTGCATATACATTTTTGTTGCATGGCGTGAAGTGACAACGTTGGGTCAAGTGTAAAAGCATAGTCCAGTATTGCAATTAAATTCATAAAGATTATCCATTTCTTCTCTTTCCATAAGCACCAATCCACAATCAACAATTTGTATTTGGCTAAAATTTAAAAAAATTGTAAAATTTTACTACTGTATAAATTAAGTTATTTTTTAAATACTAATTTTAACTATTTTAAGCAATAGTTTTTCAGTTACTTACATTAAAACTATGTATAAAAATTCTGTAGTTTTATATGGATAAATAAAGGAATGTATTATTATTATTGCTTTTTTATTTACTAGAAAGAGAATATTTCTATTTTTATTTGATTATTTGTTAAAAGATAATTATATAATGCTATTAACATCGATTTTATTGAAAATTTAGCCGCATCTAAACGAAAAAAAAATAAATAAATCAACCCCCGCACATAAGGTGTCAAACAAAAAACCACACAGAAAAGCATAGAATTTCAAACATTATTTAATATTCATTATTGCTTTTCCAAAAAAATAATTTCTTTTTCAGAAAACAATATACCTAGGTATGGTGATTACGAAGATAGTTGAAACCGTATAAAAACTAAAAGTCGGCATCTCTTTATTGTGCCCGGGCACAATTATCTACTGTTCATTATGCTTTTCCAAGATAATGTCTTTTTCAGAAAACAAACCCCCAGTATGGCAGGGCTGTATTTATTATTTATTTATTACTTTAAGTAGGTATTTCTTACTGATATGGTAACATACTATGATATATGATGATCTATTTGACAAACCTAAACCTAGACGTATTTCCTTAGTTCCGCAATATATTTTATTTTTCAAATATGAGAGCATTTTGTGACTGCGAAATATATTCAGTCACGGCAAAACGAAGTCAAAAATTAAAATATGTTTTACAGTTTTCTAAAGCCATAAAATTTCAATGGTTAAGTTTGATACTGGCGCCATCTGGACTAGAAGCTCCAAACATTCATATTTGTTGTTCTGTTTTCTTTGGTATCTCTACTAATGATATTTAAATAAATGGCTACCAAAGAAATAATTTCACAAAAATCTAGACATTGCTGGTAATACTGCATAATTCTGTCTAATATTTTGCAAGTCAGTTCCTCAAATCTGTACGAAGGAGATGTAAAATTATAATAAAGATCTATGACATAAAATTTCAATTTGTTATTATACTTTATTTATCCATAACTTCAATAATACAAATTATTTTGTGATAAAAAATATGTCAACTCCTAGTTATCTATATAGACCACATATAATTTTCTCAGAAAATAGTGTAGTTTTTGAAAAGACTATGCTTGGGTGAAGGTCTGTTTTCAGAAAATATCTTTATTCCCCTCTTAAGATAAATTTAACAGTCTAATAAGAGGTGCCATATAACAAAGAAACAAATTCATAACTTTGTTTTTTATTGCAATTTATACTTTTGCTGAACAAAGTGATATGTTATTAGTTTTGGGTTATTGTGAAGGAAATTGTTGCGCTACTGTTGGAACATATACTGAAAGATTTCCTAATCAAAGAATTCCAATCACAAAACATTTGCTAATGGTGAGACACCTTCGGGAAGCAGGACGTTTTTTACCTGTCACATTAAATCGTGGATAATGTACGGCGGAATTATTCAGCTGGAGGATCAAATTTGGAAATGGGTCGAAGAAATTTCTCAAGTAAATAAAAGGCGTTTAGTGGCAGAGGTTGGCTTTCAAAAAGTTCCCTTAATAGAGTATTAAAAGACCAGTTATTACAGGTTACTGTCCTAACAGGTGGATAGGTAGAGATAGGTAGAGGAAATAATGCCTCTCTAAAATGGCCACCTCGATCTCCGGACCTAAACCCATGTAATTATTTCCTTTGGGGAGTGTTGAGGACCACAGTTTATAACTTTTCAGTAAATACAGAAAACGAATGATGGGAAAGAATACAACATGAAGTTAATGTTATGAGAGGTAATGCACAATTATTGGATAAAAATCACTTTAATTTTTGAAGAACTAATGTTTGCATTTAAGAACAAGGAAGTAACTTTGAGCATTTACTATAATATTATTTTAATGTGATTACAAATATCAATTTTATGTTTATTTAAAATGTTAATGTTGACTTTCTTAATTATTAGTTGATATTGTTTATTTTAAAATATTAGTGTTGATTTTTATTTTATTGATTGATAATACTAATACTATAAAGTATGGTTATTTTTTTTAATGTGATTTTTTTTCATTATTATTCCCTGCTTTGAGGCTGCAGTTATAAATTATTTTTTACAAATCGGAATTTTTGCCTATATTTAATGTCTAAAATATGCCAATTTTACTTGAAATCCATAAGCGATATCAAAATTTTGTAAGAGCAAAAAATCTTTTAAAATAGTGCTTATTTTTTAAAATATAAATTTTGACATCATTGACGTGCACACGAAAAAGTTACGGGATAGCCAGTGGCGCACAGGCACTAGAAAGAAAACATCCTGTATATGTGTTCTCACCAAATTCTATATTTACCTTGCCCTTATATAAAAAAAATAAGTGTACCAAATTTGAAGTTTCTAAGAAAAATAGTTTTCAAATTATTTGAAAAAAACCAGGTTATCGATTCTATATTTAGAAGGCTATATCTCAGTAGGCGTGCACTTTTGTATATAGATAAGTTAGGCTAAATAGTCTTATTTTCATCCAAGGAACCTGTGGTCAAGCGGTGTCCATTCTTTTCAGGGACACTCTGTATAAAATATCCATGAAAGATACATACAAGCTGTTTTTTATAACTGCCAAATAAATTACATAGAACATATTTAGAAACAACTAAAATAATCATAAAACTTTATATAGAGCATATAATGTGAATTTAATAAAAATATTTTTGGCCCTGACCTCTATCCACAGCAACTCGATTATTTCAAATATGTAAGACAATTTGTATGGACAAATTTTTAAATTCTACAAATTTAGTCCACTTTCGTCATAACATATTTGCTATACCTAACCTCACTCAGTATATGAAATTTCTTTTTTCCAATGAAACATTAAACTTTCTGAACTTCATCGTGATCTTGGCTCTGCCATCACAGAATAATAGTGCCAACTACCTACCAAGTTAATCAATTTTTGAAGTTAATTCATACATTAATTTTTGTGTATGAAGCCAAATATGAAAATAATTCTATGGAATGTGAATACCAGAGACCAAAAAGAACCAGATATCAAATAATTTCAAAGACCAAAACCAGAACCAAAAATTATAATTGAATTTGTTAGAGCATCAATGTGTGGTGTGGTTCTTATTAATTCATATTTTGCTTGGATAGTTTAAGCTTATTTGAATGTGTTTCATAACAAGTGAATTGGATGTGATGGAACTGTTGCAGGATCTTTAGACTTAAGTTGCCCGTGCTAGGGCGTGCTAGTGCAATAGCTAAATTTTAAAAATGGAATCTTTACTTCATAATATTGAATACTGAATTGTGATGAACATTTGACAAGGATGGAGAATATGATAGAACACCATTTTGCATATAGAAAAAAACAGATTACATCATCAAGAATTTTAGCAATAAAAATGCCCCAGATCCTAAAAATATTAAACAATTACAATAATTAGTTCTTGGTGCTATAAATTACGTATTATGGACAATATGGACATAATTTAGCCATTTACTTCCCTTATATGAACTGTTAGACAAATTTTAAGTGGTCTTGGACAACACAATGTAATAAAGTCTCTAATAGCTGTTTTACATTGATAATTTATTCATCAATAAATTGACGAAGTTTCAAAAATCCTTGTGTATGCCATTCAACAATCTTTACTTTGCTGCACATCAGAAAGTTGCATTTGAAGTGTTTTCGTTGAATTTTGTATTTCTAAAAATGTTTATATACTTTTGAGAAATTAATTATTTCAAATATTTCTTAAGATTCAGTTAACTGATGATAGTCATGAAACACTGAACAAAATATAACTTAACCTATTAGTAACAAAACATTGCATTGCAAAGAATGTAAGAATAGAAAAAAACTATTTGTTTAATTCAGGAACAAACACATATTTATTTTATAAATATTACCTAAAGCTGAGCTTGATGTTGAAATTGACTGGCCAAGTGATAACGATAATACATCAGATTCTGGACTTGTGGTGCACTCTGTGCTGCATGTAATAATATCTACACTTTCTGAACTATTTTTTCCACTTTCACTACTTATTACAGAAAGTCTATTAATGTAACTGTTACTTATGATTTCAGACTTACTAACTGTTGCATTACAAATACCGTCTGCAGCTTCAGGAACTAAAAATTTCAATAAAACAAATTTAAGAACAAATCTTAATATAATCCGTATCACAAATTCAAGAAGTTGTTCCTTCAGTCATTTTAAATAAAAAATCTTTAACAAGGTAAGAGTCTAACACCATTCATTTTCAAGATACAAAGTGTTAAAATTAAAATATATATATACAGGGTGTCTGGTAAGTACCTCCTAATCTCTCGGGAGTGTATAGGGGAGGTCAAAATAAAACTAGTCCTTCCTATAATTTTTTTTCCTAATGTGCCCCCTAACGGAGTTATGGGGGGTCAAAGGGGTACCTAGAAATTAACGTTTAGGGTTATAACTTTGAAACCACCCTGTATATTTTAATAAAATTTTCGTACGTTGTATTACACATGGAGCTCTACGATTTGATGCTAAAATCAACTTTTTGCTATTATCAGGTGTCCAGAAACGGACTGGCCCTATCACAATTTTTCT